TCTTTGGACTGATGTAAAAACGAGCGTTCTTGCTCATTTTGCTTCCGAGAAACATGCAAAACGGGACGGAAAACATGAAATTTTGCAATAATCTTACCCTTGCCCAAAACGACGATAATTTCATAGACAACAGAAGACTGTATTTTTTCTACTTAACCCCCCCCCCCCTGAATTTAAAGCTGGATCCGCCCCTGTGTCAATGACATGCTGAGTAGATCAACCGACATTCAATCGTCACTGATAACTTGTTTTGCAAATCTTGCTATTGTTTCCGGTCGGATTCCGGTTTTTTTGTAAAAAATGTTGCTAGTATATTGGGATCAGTCCCCGTACACCAGTCAGTAAGACAAGGACAACCTCCTATCCATACCTTTCCTGTCTCGCTTCTAGACATTGCGGAGGAAATTGCCGAGCGCTATTCGAATGGGCTGCTACAGTAATAAGTTCAACAGTAATCTCTAATAAAATCAGCTAGGCCAATGCATATTTTTGTTTCTATTGATAACAGTTCCTAAAATTGCAGCAAGTATTCCTATTATTAACTCAGTGAGCCGCTTTATTTTCCCTTTAACTATCTAGAACAGCGTTCTGGGAACTTTCCAGCTTTTCCAACTTAAATTGGCATTTGAAGTGTGCCAACTACGGTTTCCTTTATTCTACTCTTCTCTTGATGTTGAAACGTAAAACCCTTGGCGATCACTCCCCGTAAATCAGGCAGTGAAACAAGGACACGCGGGCTTTCATGGGTTTTCTGTCCCACTTTTGGACATTGTGCCGACTATTACCGAGCGCATGAGTGGGTGGGTCGTCTACGGGGTGCAGTTAACAATTTTCCCGAACAAAATCAGCTTACTCGAATGGGCTTTTAAGCTTTGATTTGTTTGCAAAAACAAAGCAATTGAAGCGAAACAAAGCGAATTATGTGCTTAAATTCTATTAATCACTTTATTATCTTATCGCAATACAAAGTAAAAATAAGTAATTTTGATTAAATATAAAACAATAGTGGGATAAACTCGGTTGTTTACCTTCCGCAGACACTCGTTGAATATCCCTGCAGTAAAACTAAGTAGCTGGATATACCGGGTGTTAGAAGCGGAAGCAAAACGAGTGGGGAAATTCGGACATTTTTCCCACTGCGTGGATGAACTCCTGTATTGAGACCTTCCCGGAAGATTCTATGCTCATTTCGTCTATCAGCTGCATAAGTTTGTCAATCATCACCAATTGAGAAGCAATTTTCAAAGTCACTCACTATTTTAATGATGTGATTTTGTTCATCTTCACGGATGTAGCCGGCTCGTTCTTCTTCGGTTCGGTAACCAGCGCGTTGAGTTAACCGTTGAATCACTTGCGCTAAATCGTCTTCTCCCACAAAACCATCGCCGTCAAAGTCTGAAAAGCCCATTAATTTAGTCTCAAGTAAATTCAATTCGGCACCTACCTAATATTCGAAAAGCCCATGCAGCTTTAACCGAGGCCGGACACTTTTCGGACATGGCCGAGCACAGATCTAGAATGTCCTCGAAAGACATCTTTCCATCCTCCTCTGAGGAGAATACTTGGAAAATCCGGTCGCGAAATGGATTGTACTGCAACAGATAGATGTACAGTTTGGCTACTGGTTAAGGCAAGAAAACTTACCTTCAATTGAGTGAACACTTCTTGCACGTAGTGGCAAGGAAAGCGACTGTTCAAGCTATGCAGGGCGCCGGTTTGGTCGATTTGGCCGAATATTTTGTAGATGCTGTAAAAACACCAAAATGCTACTTTTTGCTCGATTCAGCTCCACTCAATTTTAAGAAAAAAGTGTCTTTCGCCGTAGATGTGGCGGAAAAGACGTATTCTGATGCCATAAATTTTGGTCGGACCCTGTACAACACGCAATCAGTGGGTTTCTATGGCAACTGCTTTTGGGACTGGCGCAGATTACCGAGCGCACTCGACTTTTCTCGTATTAGTAGTCTATCACAGATCACAAAGGTTATTATTACTCTGTGATCTGTGGTAGTCTATTGCTTAATGATGTACAGTACACATGCGCGCGCTTCGCTCCGGTTCCACTTTAAAAATTTGCAGAATTTTTCGATGTTAGTGCGAAAAATTGGACATTTTCTGCAAAACTAGGTTTACCGCTATTGTTATGCGACATTTTTGGAAGCAATTTTGGGATTTTAGCCCCATAAACGCCAATTTCCAGCTTGAGAACATTCTGACGTCTTCTGTCAAGTGCGGTCGGATATTGGACTTTTTGAGATCTTCTTCAGCCTTTTAAGAACTTTATATGAACGTGATGATTACACGAATGCCCTATTTGAGTGCGAACATTGAACAGCAATGGTAAGTGCGATTTTCCTATACCTTAACCCTGTTTGTATCCAAACTCAACTGTCAAAATTCCATGGCAAATCGGACACATACAGTGTGGCCCAAGCCTTACATGTTTGGCATCATAACTAGTGTGTTTGTTCAAAAAGGTATTGCAAAAAAATTGATTTTGAGTTAATTATAGATTCGTTTGCTAAGCATTGCTATTGTTGCTAAGCATAATAATAGAAGAATGCCTCTTCTAATGTTCTGTGGGAATAACTACATCATTATTGAATTATTTCACTATCTTATGAAAGTTCTATTCACTGTTTATAATGCTATTTTCGTTAAATTAAATATTTTTAACCTACTTTCGTTTAGTAAATAGAATTATTCAATTCAAAAAATAGATTTGTTTATAATAGTTTTTATTACAATACTAGTGTTGAAACGAATTTCATTCAGCATTGGTTTCCAACATAATAACGTTTAAAAAATGTTCACAGTTGTGAAATATATTTTATAACCTTTATTTCGTTATTTTACGTAGATAAAATCTCGTATAATATTTCTATTGTAAATTCATATGGGGACACTCAAGGTATTGTAAAACTCTGTTAGCTCCTTGTTTGACAAAAGCATGTCGTTACTACTAAAAATGAATATTTGCAAGGCTTGCATGTTAAATAAAAATAGATAAAAAATTTACATTATATTCGGCCAAAGAAGAAAACAACTATATTATATCCCACTCTTACAATTAAAAGTATAAATATCTCCTGCTAATCTTGACAAATTGAATATGGAATAATTTTTTGATAACATCAAATATAGGGTGTTTCAGTAACCTGCACCTATACAGAGTGTCCCGTAAGTAATCAAAAGGATTTTAGGAGAACTTTTATTAACAAAAAATGTCTGGCACCTCTGCTATTGATGGTAATGAAGTTCTTCAAAAAATTTATCTTTTTTGAAATATCGGGAGAATGGTACGATGTATTTTGGTGAAACTCGCTGTGAATTTGTTCTTATGTACGACTCATATGTTGATGACACAATCGAGTTCAGCCGTTTTGGACAAGTGGTAAATTCTTGAGTGTCGTGGTACAAAAACTACCAGAACTTTTTAGTTGCAAGATGAAATCAACTCATTTTTTTTAGGTTGATGGACTAATTATTTATCCACAATTCTGTGCTCTTTGTAAAATCTTGTAGCATTCATAGTTTTTGCGAAAAAAATAGTTCTGTTTCCTTGCCACTTAACAATGATAGACATTAACTGCAAATATCGTGATACGAGGCACAAAATCATTGTCAATCAATATCACAAATTCGTTTTGAATTACCTTTTTTGATGAAGAAATGACCGACATCGTCAAAGTTTTAGGATTTCGCAATAACAACTTGCGTGAAAGCGTATGCCTTTAAGCGGCGCATATTTGCCGTTAATGTCTAACATTGTTAAATGGCAAGAAAACAGACATATTTTTTTGCGCAAAAACTATGAGTGCTACAGGATTTTACAAAGAGCACAAAATTGTGAATAAATGATTATTGCATTGACCAAAAAAAATGAGTTGATTTCATCTACCAAATAAAAAGTTCTGGTAGTTTTTGTAGCACGACACTTAAGAATTCACCACTTGTCCAAAACGGTTAAACTCGACTGTTTCATCAAAATATGAGTCTTACATAAGAACAAATTCACAGCGAGTTTCACCCAAAATACATCAATATTCATCATTTTTTGAAGAACTTTGACCATCAAAAGCAGAGGAGCCAGACATTTTTTGTTAATAAAAGTTAGGTCAGATCGTCTTCTTTTGATCCCAAGAATATCGTAGTACTCTTTTGATCATGTGCTTACGGGACACCCTGTATCTATGTTTCAGAAATGATTATGGAACTGAAAATGTTCGCCTTCAGAAACGTTTCATTGAAACGTTTCGCTGACCATTGCTGAAACGTTTCAAGGAAATATTACTGAAACGTTGCGCTAAACGTTATTTAAACGTTGCAAATACATGTTTTGTAACATTATAAATGGTGTATCTTTGAAGAGTAGAAATATTTTAATTGATGTTACATTTTAGCCCCAGAAGCAGTCCTGCTTCGAGGATCAAAATAATATATCTACCAACAGTTAAAATATTTGTACTCATCAGATAATAATAAAACTCAAGTGGCATTTGTATATACAATAACATTTGTATTAAATAACTAAACAAGGAGAAACACAAAGACTCACAAAAAATATTTTTAAAATTCAGTAGTATCTAGCCAAGGACACCCAGTCTTCTTTGAGTAGATTCTCATGAGAATAAAAAAAAATGCTTTCTTAAGGCATTTCCCAAAATTAAGTGGATTTTCATGTGTCAGAAGTGTTCTTTTTAATCTGTTAAATCAATAATTTATGATAAAAAACGTGCATTTTATGACTTGTTTGTCTCTTAGGAAAAGTTTCGAATTAAGTACAGAAAAGTGCGTAATGGACGGAGCGGCGCGATGCACTCATTCGCTTTATATCTATGCTATTGAATAGATACTTACTACAAGATCTCAGCTTTGCTCAAATACGTCAAAATTGTATATTCTTCCAGAATGCCTTCTGTCAGGGCGGAAAACTTGCTCTTGGAGCTTCCCATTGCGGACTGTTCCTGGCAATGAACTACTCACTCGCACAATAAACCGTCGTCTAACAAAGGCGATTCTCCAGATGAATGGACAAATATTTAATTTTCTCAACCGCCACAGTTAGATGTTTAACATCAACGTCTCGTACCTACTTCTTTGCCAAATCATCGCGATTGATACCTACTCTATAAACTAACTATTCGCTCCTTGCAATGATAGAATTATTACTGATTAGATATGATTATTCATTGGCTTTATCAAATGGAAAGAAAGTACTTGGCTGGATGATAAAACTGATACTAGGACTAATTGTAAAGTGACGAGGTGAAAACAGATCGTCATTGTAAACTGAGCAAACAAAATACGCGGGTTTCTGCCTATTTACTACTTCAGTGCATCTCTTACCTTATGCCCAACTGGGTCAATCATATAAGTTACGCAAACATTCTAAATTCTAATGTCCGAAACCAGAATTATGGATGGGTTTTCTAGGTCTAGGCCTTTGGCGACATTTGTCTGTATAATTGTTCAAGATTATCTTGTGCGTCGCATATGCATAGACATGTCTGCAGAGGTGCGCATTTCGGGGGGTTCCTATAATGCTATAAATAATTGGCAGGTTTTCCTACGATTTCGTTTTTGTTTGTTCAGCTAATAAGTGGAGTTAATTCACGTTGTTTATCGACGATAACAAACCTTTTTAGGTTTAAAAACTGATTATCACTGGTTGATTTTCACTGTTTTGGTTGTTTTCATATGCCTTTCGTTTGATTTTTTGAGGGTCATCAAGGAACAAACTATTCATGTTTTCAAAGAAATTATGAAAAATCACTTATATCGAAGTGTAGGAAAAAGTAACTTTTGGTTAAAAAATATTTATAAGCATATAACATTTTTGTTAAAAATATACATTTTTAACAAGATAAAATTTATGAAAACTTTTTAATTATGTTATCAAATCTCCGAGTGCAAATTTAAGTCATTTTTTTCCAAACCGCCCTTGGTTTTTAGTTCATATTTAGAGAACCCATAATATAACCGTCTCTTTTCTGTAATTCATAGATAGAGCTTCAAAGTACATAATTTCCATACAAAATATTCTTATGAAATTTCCTCCAGTTTTCTCAGCTTGTTTCAAAGTGCAGAAATAGACCATTTTCTTCAAAATCGCGCCTAGTTGTTTATTTATCCTTACAGAACCAATAGAACAACCGACTTCTAATTGCCATTAATGGATAGAGCATCAAAGTGGATATATTTCATACAACATATCGGACTGATCGGACATATTTGGAATGTTTCCAATTTTCCGAAAAAAATTAACAGTGCAAAGTAATATTTTTTTTCGAAAACCGCTTTTATTTTTTTATTTATACTTAGTTAATTAAAAGAGGAACGTACTTTTTGTGGTCGTTAATAGATAGTGCAATACAAACCATCCGTATGGATTTCTTTGTAACTCTTGTTTTACCTTTTTGGTGATTTTTGACAACGCTCTTAGTTTTTGGTATATGTATACTTAAAGATCCAACAGAGCTGACGATTCCTCGACTATTCTTAAAAATTATTCATTAAATTTGTTCTTATTATTAATAAAATTAAATATTTTTTTATAACATTAGTGTAATGCACTGAAGCGCTCATCAAACGCCTGCACCTACACATGTTATTGTATAACTGATTGCCTACCACACATGGATAAATCGTGTAAGGTCGCCCCCGTAGACGCAAGGCAAATAATTGTTAATCATAACCAAACTTTTTCGTTGGTTCTCGTCACTTCAAAACTAAGATTTGTATTATCATTTTATGCAAAACACACTTGTCGCGAATGTTGTGGAAATTAGCCCAAATTCCCCGGTCCACCCCCGGGCTTTTCCGGTTAGTTTCTATAACTGTCACATGATTGTCTCATTGTTTTGCTCTTTAATAGGAATCTGTGTCGCAGTTCCATCAAGCCCTGGAACTCACTGCATAACAACGTTCCTATAAGGCACGTGGGAAGAACCTGCCTCAAGTCAAGAAACAGCCCCACTAACTGTAGTATACCCATAAAAATCAGCGTATTCCTGACTTGCGGGGCCGCCAAAGTTTACTTTGGCAACCCATTAGTTTGCTGTGAAAGTAGGTCTAGACTAGCAGGTTATAGAACAAGCAGTGATGCAAAAGTGAACTTCGACTGGAAAAGGTTCTGGCAATATCTAAAGCCTCATTTATGGAGCTTCGTGGCAGCAATTTTGGTTTGTTTCTACCTGCAGTTAGAGTTTCTCTACGCTCACGCTCGGGTCACTTTCAGGGAGCTTTAGTGGTCGCCTTGTTAAACATTCAAATTCCTCAAGTGATGGGTGGTGTTATCAATGTGCTCTCTAGATTCACTCACGAGCAGGACAGCAAATTGTTCATCTCGGAAATGAAACTTCCAGCCCTAAAGCTGATTGCCATGTATCTAGGACAAGTATGTCTATCTAGTGGCAATTTAGGTAGATCCTTAATATGCATCCACTAAATGCGCAGAGCTTCTTCACGTTCTTCTACATATCAATGCTATCAAACCTGGGAGAAAAAATCGCCTTTAGAATGAAGTCGGATCTATTCGCCTCAATTCTTAAGCAGGACATTGCATTTTTTGACGCTCAAAGAACAGGAGAAATCGTCACTAGGTAGAAGGAATTTATGCGCCAAATTACATCTGATATATTTGTCACTATCTAGACTGACTGCAGACATTCAGGACTTTAAAAGCAGCTTCAAACAGACGATTTCAGGGGGTTTGCGGGCCGCTACCCAAATCATTGGCTGCTCAGTGTCCCTTCTAATGATTTCCCCTTATATGACTTGCATATCAATGTTGTGCATTCCTTCGGTGATCGCTGTTGGCACCGTGTTTGGCTCGATTCTTAGATCGACTTCCCGAAAGACTCAAGCGCAGGTAGGTGAGTAATATAATTCCTAATATGGTTTATCTTCAATGTTTCACGGGCTTTTATTAAATGCTGTAATGTTTAGGTGGAAAAAGCCACTGCAGTTGCGGACGAAGCGATCAGCAACATTCGAACTGTTAGAGCGTTCGCCATGGACGATCAGGAGGAAATCATGTTCGTGCAAGAGGCTGAGAAGGCGAAAGATTTGAATGAAGCTCTCGGCTTTGGAATCGGAATTTTTCAAGCTGGGACCAATTTGTTTCTAAATGGGTAAATCAGTCAATCTACTCAGAGTTTCCCGTTCATTGGCCTGAACTTTCGGGCTTTCAGTACAGTGTTGATGACGTTGTATCTGGGCGGCTACCTACTATCAACCAATCAGCTCTCAGCCGGTGAAGTGATGTCGTTTTTAATCTCGGCCCAAACCATCCAAAGATCATTAGCGCAAGTTTCTTTGCTGTTTGGCAGTGTGATTAAAGGACTGGCTGCAGGCGGCCGAGTGTTTGAGGTAAAACTCCCCATAAAACTGCGTAAAATTAAATAAAATTCTTTACAGTACATCAACATGACGCCCTCAATGAACCTGAAAGGCGGCCGAATTATTCCCGACAAATTTCTTAAAGGCGAAATTGTTTTCCAGAATGTAACCTTTGCGTATCCCACTAGGAAACAGCAGGTATTTTGCAATTATCAAAGACCCAATTTGGGAATTATTCACGCGATTTTTGCTGATTTTAGGTTGTTTTGGAAAACTTCAACTTATCGGTTCCGGCAGGGAAAACGGTTGCCATTGTGGGGGCCTCAGGCAATGGAAAATCCACCATTGTGGCTCTTGTAGAAAGGTAGGCCCATTTGTGTTGGATGAAATGGTTTTTTTCAATGCTAACTGGTTAGATTCTACGATGTCGACAATGGATCAGTGAAAATCGATGGTTACGACCTGAAAACGCTCGATCCTTCATGGTTGAGGCGCAAGGCTTTGGGTCTCATCAGCCAAGAACCCATTCTGTTTGGGACTACCATTTTAGAGAATATCCGATATGGCAAACCTGATGCAACAGATGAAGATGTTAGTTGGGTTTAAGTATAGAAATTGGCTGATTTGTTCATCAAACATTATTTTTTTAAGGTGAGAAAAGCGGCTCAGTTAGCCAACGCAGACGAGTTTATCTCGCACTTTCCCAACGGATACCAAACAATGGTCGGCGAAAGGGGCGCCACTTTATCGGGAGGTCAAAAGCAGAGAATTGCTATTGCTAGAGCCCTGTTGAAGGATCCCAAGATACTCCTGTTAGATGAAGCAACCAGGTGAGAATGGAAAATTTTCTACTAGTCTAATTGCTCGATACAATTTCGGTTTTAGTGCCCTAGACGCGGAATCTGAAAAAGTTGTCCAGGCTGCCCTGGACAATGCACGCAAAGGACGGACCGTTATTGTGATTGCCCATCGACTATCCACTGTACGAAACGCCGATATCATCCTGGTTTTAAACAATGGAAAAATTGTGGAGGTCAGCGAGCCTAACACAGGAAAAAACGGTTTATTGGATTTGGTATTAATTCTAGATGGGAACGCATGAACATCTCCAGCAACTTAAAGGCTATTACTGGGCGTTAACGTATCAGCAGCAACCACAAGCAGAAGGAGGATAGGGGGCAATCCAATATTCTGCTTACCTACGCACCGGCTTTTGTTTGACACCCTACCCTGTACATGTAATTTAATAGATGATCAGACTTGAAACTTTACCTATTAGCGTGTACAGTTTTATTTAAAACCCATAAAATTAGTCGCCCGCTGTAATGTTGAAAGACGGCTAAAAACGCTCCTTATCATGCACTTCACCTGCCATTAGAATTCTCCGAACTTTAAGCAAATATTTCAAGTGGGTTTGTGTGTATATGTGCGGGGTTATTTGATCGAAAGTGCATGGAAAAGGACAATTGTCTAATTCAAGTCCAAAAGCCGTAGAGTTAGAAGTGAACGGAAAATTAACAAAAGTGAGTGAACTGATTGGTGGAATGTCTTTGAAGCGATCTGGATTGTTTGTTTTTGTTGCAGATTTTTCAGACCAAATTGATGTCTGTACAAACAACCAAGAGCTGCTCTTTGCCATGCCACTGATAGATACAACCAGACTGATTAGGTTAATATCAGTCCCTTTCTACATACTTGGAAAAAACTTAATTGTTCAATCCCTAGGAAAGTTTCCCTTCTTTTGCTATTTAATCCAATGCTCCCCATATACCGGTGAGTTCTTGTCGCTGTTTGTCCCAAACAGCGATTAATCTTAGATGTTTTTGTAAGCCATTCCAAGTCGAATTAGAAGCCTGTTCAGCAACCGGATGAGAAACTCGTGTGATAATAGCTTTGCGAGTTCTCTCAGTGAAACCCTGGTCTGTTTTATTGGCGAGTGTCTTAGGAGGCAACCGGCTTCATTTCATGAAAAACTCGCGGCTAATTGATTAGTGCTCAATTGCAGAACTTGAGCCTTTGCCAGACCGATCAGATGAGCACTTTCCGCAGGAGGAGTTTATTTTATACTGGGTAAGTAGCTACTATAAGAAAGCCTTGCTTTCAACACCTATATTGATCAACATTCATTGCCTATCTAAACAAAGATCTGCCTGAACTATCGGCAATCTAAACAGGAACATAACGTAATAAATATTTGGTAAACATCGCCCGCTAATTACAGCCCGGATGTGTCTAGCTTTTGGGTATGGTTGCAATTTTTCTAGGGCTTAATTATCAAATGCCCCAATGATGCGGGAATTGCAAGAATCCCAAATAACAAACCGTGCGCCCAGTTTAAGCCCAAACCTGGAGGAATATCAGTGTTTCTTAGTGGAGAGTTTCCCAGTGCAGTGTTTTCTTACCCGTAAGGTGCAGTCCCAAGAGCCGGTGGAAAATGCAGTGCCATCCGGAGAAACTTGCAGGCAGCTAACGCGGTTTTCATGGCCGCAAAGCACCCACACCCTTACGCACTTCAATGTGTCCCATACGTTAATCGTGTAGTCGTTGTAACCAGCAAACAGCATTCGCCCTGAAATAGCAAAACCACTAGCTGGATGAGTTTAGCCCGTAGTCTCTAAGGCTTACCCGAATGCGAAAAGTCCACAGAATTGGCACTGAAAATGATGCTGGCCCTGCTGTAGACCCCAATCTCTTTGTCCGCCCTCAAGTCGAACAGTCTGCACTGGAAACAGCAGGGTTACTTTGAAAAATTCTGGAGCATTTCTGGAGGAAACTCACTGTGGCATCGTCCCCGCCAGTGGCGACTGCGTCACCGCTTGGGTGGAACTTAACACTGTTCACATCGGACTCATTGCCTTCGAACGACTGCACGCATTGGCCGGTCCGCATGTCCCAGATTAGTGCCGTTTTGTCCACGCTCTGGAAGCGCGCGTTTTGAGACCGTGCCAGCCTCTCTAGGCCTTGCTTACCCCTGAGACGAAAGTGTTGCCGGTCTCAGAAGGGGCCAAGTCAATGGACATCACATCTGCTGAATGTCCGTGAAAACTCTGCAATAGCTGGCCCGATTCCACGTCCCAAAGGGCGCAGGTGGAATCACCGCTCCCCGTTAGGATCTGCAAACAAGCGTTAAAGGAAAACAAGTGATCTTAGCTGAACTGTGCGAACCTGCTGATCCGAGTTGGGGAACAGGCAGCAGCTCATGTAGCTGGTGTGAGTACCGACAGTTTTTTTGCGCAACGAAACGTCCTCATCCAGAATGAGCGGGTAGACGGTGACCTTGTTGTCCAGACCGCTGCAAAAAGCCAATTATTAACTGCGTATCAGCTCCGACATGAGCTGCCAATCGAAGATTATCATCTCAAAACCCATCTACTTATACTTTCCCACACTAAACCAAATTCACACTCAATCTTTAGTTACGTTTGCTTCTGAGGGTCTGAGGGTTATTTATATCTGGCTTGCTAAGAGAGCAATTCCGAAAGTTGAAAGAGCTTTAAATGACGACAGAACAACTGATACAAAGCAGCGATATGAATGTGTTTTTTTGAGATGAAACCGACGAATTGAGCTCTTAATTGCCGTATACCCGCAAGCAACAAAATTTCCAGATGGAGCATAGGCGCAGGCCATCACCCAAGTGGTGGGCATGGTGACGGCGTGTTCCTTATTAGTGGTGAATGCGTCCCAAATGATCATTTTGCCATCCTAAAAGTAACCAACACCCAGTGACAAAGCCGTAGGGCTGTGCCTCGGAATTACCTGCGATGAGGACACGATATGCTTCTTGTCGGGGGACCAGTCTGAGCACAACACCTTGGCCTGGTGCCCCTTCAAGGTGCGTCGGGGTTTGATTTGGTGGTTCCAGTTGATGCAGTCGAGCCGCTGAGCCACCTGATGCACTGCAGAACCACCCGAATCAGCGCCCCTGACTATCTGCTGTCTTCAAAGACTTACGCGAAACATCGTTCAGCTTCTGGCGCTCCTCTTCCAGGCGCCGTTTCAGCACCTCGGCCTCCTTTTGAAGGGATTCAATGGTTTCGGAGGTCGTGGCTTTACTGTCGCTGTCCATGCTGCTGACCGGCGCTCGGGACATAGAACAAGACTTGGGCTCGGGACAAGCCCAACTTACAATTTCCTCAAGCCTCAAACACAGAAAAGGGGTTTGTTTATTTACAAAATCAATACTTCTACAGATCACAGATGTTTTCGACCGAGATGTTCTAGTGGGCGTCATTGGAACTAGGCTCGAATTCTCACCACTTTTAGAAGAAATCTACTTTTATGGTGGGAATTTGAATTTACCTTAGACTTAGTACCATTGAAGCCTAATCATAACACAACCTTATGGAATTTTTATACAAGCATTATTCGTAAAATGTACATAAAAAGACTTAACTAGGTATATCGGGTAATATTAATGAAGAGCAATGTTTTCAAGCTAGAGGCCGCTGGCATCACCTTGAGTATCATCAGTCATCAGCACAGCACCGGACTGTACACATTTCGGCTGTCAGTTTGAAATTTTCAAATTGTGGCAGGCAATTCTGTGAAAAAACCGGTTTAAATCGAGAAATTAGCCAGAAAACCTCTGTTTTAGTCTGTGAGTGACATTATCACATACATTATCAATAAAACGAGCATTTTTAAGCGACAAACTCAATTTGGGAAATGTCAAAGAAAAGAGGCCGAAGTTGCATTTGAACGAAACTCATTGAACCTGTTGTCAGTAGAGAGTGGAAGAGATAAAAGTAGAATGGAGATGCAGAGACAGAAAAGCTGCTTTGTTTACGGCGAATATCCCAAACCCGTTGGATCGAGAAGAAAACAAAAAAACTGAAATCAAACAGCAAAGTGAACAATGACAATGACTCATCCGAAAGGCGAGCAAGTAAACGATTATATCATCGTGTAAGTTCTGTAGCTCGGTGCGTCTGGAATGATGCAGAAACCTCAATAACCCCATGTATTACCGCAAAAGCTGATTATATATTCAGTTTGTTACCGCAAACCACAGATCACAAACCTCTGTGTGGGAAACAAGCGAAAATTTCGTCGGTCATTTGTGCCGTGCCGGGATATAAAGAGTGATTTTCTCATGTTGCTCTTTAACTGTAGGATTTAGTGCAAGTTCTCCATTTGTTGTGGATCTACGTTTTCAAGTGTAGTGTAATGAGCGCTTTTTGAGGAATAATGTGTAGAAAATGGCGGATGCGGCGCCAGCTTGCGGGTAGCTGGCAAGGATTTCATCTACAGGGTGAGTTTTTTTCGATGATTAGTACAGGGATCTTCGGACTAGAGCAGTTATGAAGAAGGTCAAATGGAGAAGAAGACATATTTGACTTATTTCTAATACAGTAAAGTCCGCTTATAATGAACCCGGTTATAGTGAACTTCCGGTTAAAACAAATTTTTTTCCTTTAATTGAAAGGTCGTCCATAAAGACCAACGTATTTTTTTACTGGTTATAACGAACCCGTTTATAACGAACTTTCGGATATAACCACACTTTTTAGGTTAGTTGTATATTCACTTTCCGTTTATAACGAACTTCCACGCTCAGCAACACCAATCGGGCGGAGTTGTTTATATTAGTGAGAGCGAGAGACCGGCAGTGACTTGTTTTTTGCCGCGTTTTGTATGTAAATCGTTTTAGAATGGAAAAACAAAAACGTAAAGCTTTTTCACTAAATGAAAAGTACGAGATTATTAACAAAATAAAAAGTGGAGTAAAATAGAGTGACATTTGTAAGGAATTAGCACTTGGAAAGTCTACTGTTGCAACAATATGGAAAAACAGAGAAAACATATTATCAGCGAATGACAAAACAAATGTTAGATGTAGGAAGTTAAAATTATCTGCACATGAAAAGGTTGACAAGGGAGTTATTAAGTGGTTTACTCAAAAAATACAAGAAAACGTTCCCATAAGTGGCAGTGTTTTGCAAGAAAATGCTAGTGAAATGGGGAGTAAAATCAAAAACA